GCCCCGGCGGCGCCCCCCTCCCCCCCCCCCCCCCAAGACTCTTGCAGCTGGGGAAGGGAGGGAGGGATCCACACTGTGAACTTCCCTCCATTCCGACCACTGACCATTTATTCCTACCCTTTGGTTCCTGTCTTTGAGCCAGTTACCAAGCCATGGAAGGACCTTCCCTCCTACCCCACGACAGCTCACTTGGCCTAAGGGCCTTTGGTGGGGGACCCTGTCAAAGGCTTTCAGGAAATCCAAGTACACTCTAGCCACTAGATCTCCTTGCCCACGTGCTTGTTGACCCCCTCAAAGAACTCTCGTCGATGGGGGGGCACAATTTCCATTTATAAAACCCTGTTGACTCTTCCCCAACCCATGGGAGAGTCCCCAGATGTTGCTTTTTCCATAGAATTTAGCTAATATTTAGCCAATATTGTCATCTGGAAGTGTAGGATTTGCAGCTCTGTTTGTTTAATAATTGTGCCATAAACTGATAACCTGTCGCCCCTTAGAATAATGATGTGGATGAGATGAAACAACAGCATACCAGGCCCCATGATATTTTACAATGTCGATTCAAAACCACGAGATCAACTTCAAGCAGAGCAATCTCCGCACCTTCCTGTATTACTGGGAAATACAGAGAGGAAGAGGCTGCTCTTTTCTGGGGTTTATACGAGCAATGGGACAGGTTAAAAGGAAGTTTTAATACCCCCCTTATTACATTCCATTACCGCTGCATAATCATCTCAAGATACATGAAGCAATTAATTGAGCATTTCTACAACACCGCCCTTTTCAAGTTCAGCGCTTAGAGCGTAGCCTTTTGTATATGTTAAAAACCAGTAACTCTACCCTCATGAAATGTCATGTTTACGGAAAGACATCATTTTTAAAATCGCGAATGTAGAGTTTATAGCGGATTTTATTGTGTTTATGCCCTTTTGGGGCTCTAACCCCAGATTTTTTCAAGATTACCCTTGTAATTTTTTCACATACTCAGAACTAATAAACTAGCACATTTGTGACCAGGGCTCAAGCAATTAGATGTGGGTGCTGAAAGAATATGTTTACATTCCTAATGATGTGCAAATCCAGAAGTAGCATTTGATAGCAGCCTTCAGCTCCTTGAAAGGGGGTTCCCAAGAGGCTGGAGAGAGGCCGTTCACAGCAGTGATGGATGGCGGAACAAGGAGCAATGGGCTCAAGAGGCAGTGGGGGAGATCTAGGTTGGAGATTAGGAAAAACGATTTCCCTAGGTGGGTGGGGAAGCACTGGGCTGGGTTCCCTAGGGAGGGGGTGGAATCTCCATCCCTAGAGGTTTTTAAGTCCTGGCTTGACAATGCCCTGGCTGGGATGATTGAGTTGGGTTGGTCCTGCTTTGCGCAGGGCGTTGGACTCGATGACTCTTGAGGTCACTTCCAACGTGGGATTCTAAG